TATATATATATATATATATATATATATATATATATATATATATACATTGCACCACTTGTGTTGCATTTACAGTCTTTGTTGGGTAATGCCCTTACAAAGCTCGACAAGCTATTGCACTACTTACACACTTAGGTAACTGTAAAAGGGTCGATCCTGCAGACTACACGTTGGACCAATCACAGCCGGCCTTTGACTTGCATGACACAGACAGGTGTTCCTCCTCAGAGGGTAGAAAGAGGGCGGTGCAGTAGTCTGCACTAGTGTGATTCATATTGCACAACGCTCCTAACCCGAGTGTGACAGTTAAATGGTTGGTTTCACTGAAATAAAACATTTCTTCTGTTATGACTGACCATGTTTACAGTTGTTCACAGAAGAGTACTCCGTGCTTCAATGGGTCATCGAAGCTGTGTGAGGCGAGAGAGGCCAAAAATAAATTCTCACATAGCAGCTACTTCATTAGGACTTAATGAAGCACCCCAAATGCTGAATCACTTCTCTTCCACTGTAACACGAGCAACTGTGGCGCCCGGCGATGCGGTTTGTTGATGATTTTGGTGGGTGAGCCGTACAGGATGCTGTAGCAGCAGTCCAGTCGAGAGGTGACGGAGGCGTGGACGAGTGTTTCAGCGGCTGAGGAGGAGAGGGAGGGGCGTAGACGGGCGATGTTTTTGAGATGAAAGAAGGCGGGTTTTGTGATGTGATTGACCTGCGGTTCGAAGGAGAGGGTTTGATCAAAAATGATACCAAGGTTCCTGATACAAGTGCACCTGTCTGTCTTTGTCTGTCTCGTACGTCATAACAGCAACAACGGCTGAGATATCCTTGAAACAAACAAATTGCACCGTAAAGAAATGTGTTTTTTTTCCTCCCATGTGCAGCAATTTTTCTGGTAATCTGATAAATAAGTCCCAAAATCTGAATATGACACTAAATCACTTGTTTTCAGGGATGTTTATTATATAAATTATCTTATATTGTGGAGTTTCAGCTCGATTTATGGGCTTCCACAGTCACCAATGTGTATCCATTCAGATTGTACACAGGACAGTTAAATCAATAAATTACATTCTTTCCAAATTAAACTTTATTACGCCATCCCTTTCTCTTAAACTCTTTTTCTGACTTTGACACAGACGGAGGCAGAGCTTTTATATGAAAGCATGAATCGATTCTCTTTACGAAAAGGCAGCGAGAGACTGCTCGCTGGCTGAACAGCAACTCCTGCTGAAGACGTTCTTCCTTCATCTCTCCTTGAAGAAGAGGACTTTCTAGTTGTCCCAATGAACACCGCGGAGGCCTCCGCCAGGTCTTTGTCTGAGCATCGCGAGAGGAAAAACAAAAGAAAAAACCACAGGCAGCAGACTGACCGATCACAGATGGGGAGGAGAGGAGGAGTGATTTCACAACAAACGCGTAATGAGGGAGGTGGAGTAACAAGGTGGAGGGGGGGGGGTCAGAGGAGCAGACAGATGGACAGGCAGGTAGAGAGTGTTAAATGCCTGGCAAGAGCGAGGGGGAGGGAAACAGGGGGGAGAGCTAGAGAGAGAACGATAGAGAGAGAAAAGAGGAAGGGTGAAAGGTCATCCAGCCTCTACAGTATACACCCATCCCCCATTTTTTTCTCTCTCTCTCTCTCTCTCTCTCTCTCTCTCTCTCTCTCTCTCTCTCTCTCTCTCTCAGGTTAGGCTCCGGCAGCAGATTGTATTCTAATCCTCAAAGCGACACACCTCCGTTTGTACTGTGTGTGTGTGTCTATATGTTTGACTGTGTGTTTGTGAGAGAGAGAGAGAGAGAGAGAGAGAGAGAGAGAGAGAGAGAGAGAGAGAGAGAGCTACTGTAACAACTTGGCTATTATCGTACATACCAATTGTCAAATTGGGCATTTTTTGTTGTTTTTGGAAATACACAAATAAACCAACCGTGGAGGAATTGTAATTAACTGCAAACTCATATCTCATTTTTATTGACTTTTGTATTGCCTTTATTCAATCCCTGTAAAGAAAGGAGCCAAGTATTAAATGCATTGAAAAGTTGAATATCATCAATATGATTACGTAGAACTTGATATGTCTGGAGAAATATTTACTCAAATGTATTACTTTTAAGACCTCCAGTTTCTAAAGCATCTAAAAAAACAAATTGGCCGTCTTTGTCAAATCCTCAGACATGTTAATAAATGCTTTTATCTTTGAACTATTTGTGACGGTCATGTCTGTAAAGCTCAGTGAGCACACAGCTGACGCCTAGATGGAAAAATTCAGAGTCGAGAGACCAAGTGCGCAAAACTTGCGACGCCTTTGCTATCAACGCGAAAGCCATTATGATGTCATTTTCCGGGGCGAACACCTCGCGACTACGTCACCACGGCAAGCACAAAGCATGACGGAGTGAGTGAGGCAGGGAGGAGAGGACAGAAATGTGGTGGAGCTTTGTGGTGGAAAGGAGTTAAAGTGCACGACGCAAAGATGGCGAGAAAAATGATGCTGCTGATGAGAAACTACGGGGAAAAAGTGATCAAATGTGTGTGGATACGGTTTGACAGATGAGTGGGTGTTTGGTTCCTGGATCCTGAGCTGGTCTCCTTTTCCTCTTGAATGTTCCTCTTTCCTTCACTCTGCTGCAGCTTCACTTTTGTCTCATATGTCAAGAGCTCTACCAGACATTTAATTACTTCTGTACATTTATCCTTTAGTCACATCATTGGTAAGCGTCTTTAAGTGAAGCCTGAAGAGTATTTGTGTGTTGTCTTTTCTGCACTTTTGCAATTATTCCATTTACAGATACATAAATTGCATTTTAACACTTTTTTGGACTACGTCTCTGATTGAACCACAGGAAAACACTTGAGCATCCCTAAAATTGGGGGACTAAAAGTGGCAACAATTCCTACACAGTTCCACCAACATAGACGTGAACACCCTCGAATAAAAGCCCTTTGACCTCACTGCCATCGTTTCATTTCTAATCCACCGTGCTGGAGTCAAAACAACAAATGAAATGTGGCACAGCGACCCAGTCACATGCTCCGCATAATCCAATCTGACTTCTCAGTCCCTTCATCCCCACAAAAACGCCCACAGACCACCTGTATGCAGTCACGCCATACAAGGCGGGGTGAGGTGGAGAAAGGGAAGGGATTAAATGAGTGTGAGAGGTGTGACGGAGGAGGAGGTCAGAGATCTCCGACTGTTAACTCACACTAGCTCATCCTCACCGGCCCTCGGGTCGAATTTCAGCTGCAAAGAATGTGTCTGCCTCACATCAGCCGATCGTTTTAATTACGCCACACGCCGATGGGAGCTGGCAGAGGAGATCCAGAGGGGGAGGGGGGAAGGGAGACAGAGCAGGGGAGAGGAGGAGGGAGTGATTTCCCTCTCATTCACAAAGATTTGATTACCTCTCTCTCTCTCTCTCTCTCTTAAACACACACAAGCACACGTCTGTGTAGATCAGCTTCAGCGCTCTGCCTTGTGACGCCTCCGTGTGCATAATGATGACTCACGCGCCGCACTGCTGTCACCCAGAATGCACTGTGTTATTACAAAGATTCCCAACAGAGACGGGACATGTGACCTCGCACCTGACACTGGATGTGTGCAACATCCCTCTCCATTTTGTGTCGTGTTTGTCCGACTGCATTAAGACAAATGTGGAGCGTTATTACACCGGCGTCGTGGTGCAGTCTGTAAACTAGAGCTTCTGCGATATGCAAATATATCCAAGGCCATTAATGTTCCTCGTGCCGGCAGAGACACTGAACAACAAGTGGCTATTCTAGCATCACAGATGTCTGTGCATTACTGATTTTTGCCAAATTAAGTGAATATTTTTCATAGAAATTGGCTTACAATAGAGCAAAAAGAATGAGAAGTTGATGACAGCAAATAAAAGCATCACATTTCTGCTTTTAGTAGAAAGAAACAACACTAAGCTTAAATACTACAACATTTAAACCTGACTCCTCCCTGGATTATGTTCAGCGGCAAAAAAACTTTCCATTGCACAAAGTACTACGTTCTTGTTCTGCACAAAGTCATTTTTTACAGTGTTTAAGCAACACCATGCTCTTTCCATAACCATAACCAAGTGCTTTGAATTGCCTCAACACAACCAAATATTGTATTCATGCCGTGGGCAGATTTTGAGAAACAAATCACCGTCCCTGGAAGTTGTGCAGTTATTAGAGCCGCACCGATATCGGGGCCGATACAGACTCAAATAGCTGGATTGGATATCCTCATTATGTGCATAAAAACACAATCTGGGTCACATTACTTTTCTTTCTAAACATATTTACCATTACTGTAGTATATATTTGTATTTTCTAGGGTACAGAATTGAGCAACTATAGTATCTAAGTGTAGTCTAAAAGCTTCACTTCTGATAAATTGTAACTTTAAAAGCAGAGTGAGTTGTTTCTGGCACAACTTCACCTTCCAAGGTGCATGAAGAAGAAAAAACCGCGAGTAGAGTATAAAATATTAAGGTTGTTCTTTATAATAAAAGTGATGAATGTAAGTCCAATATCAACTCTCTTTATTATATTATATTCACTCTCTTTTAGCTCTTTTTCTCAACCAACTTAAACAGGGAACTTTCTGTCTCTTTAGCTGCTGCTGCTAACAAAACAACAACGAAGCTAAAACGCTCTGTAAAGCTGAGGGGTGATAATCATCTGTGGGCTCATTTGATCTATTACTCATATATAAAATATTCATCACAGCAGCATAAACTATATTCACCAGGTGGTGTTTTAGGAACTCTGATGTTAAACCTATTTTTAGGATCATAAACATGTTACCGTGTTGAGGGAGACATTAGACGACTGCATCAGCCCTGAAAATGTGTCAGAATTTCCCAACATCTCTGGAAGAAAATGTCAAAAGAATGCACACCTGTGCGACTTCAAAGCACGCAGCTGTGCACCGAGAGAGAAATCTGACCTCCTCTGATAGTCATGACTCTCTGGTACGGCTGGGGGACATTAAAGGCAACACCATAAACCGAGATATTTTGATTTATTTCAGGGCAGGCAGCAGATGCACACGATATTAGTTTACAGCGTGTATGTGTTGTGGAAATAGCGAAAGTTATCCCCCCCTCTTTGAAGTATGTTCCTCTTAAAACACACCTACAGTGCAATAAGAATTGATGCATTCCCTTTCACACAAGCTGATTTTCCCTCAAAATGAACTGTGATGTGTTTACACACTCTTCTCTTTCCAACAACGAGAACTGACAGAAAGACTTTTTCACCAACGTCCAGAAAAAAGGTTTTACTTTTATTGTCATCCAGGAGGTTATTTTCATAACAACACACAAGTCCCATGATTAGACAGGAGTACAATCACTTATTTCCTGAATACTTGTTTTGATTAAAATAACATCTAGTCATTATTAGTTTTAATGATGTATTATAATCTGTTTAGAGCTAGTGATAGGAAGTTAAACAGCTTATAATTCATCTCTAATATCTATTTTATATTCGTGTGAAAACATCTCCTTCAAACATCACTACATTTTACAAGATTACATTTGAACACATCATGAAAAACATCTTAATGAACCTCCACCCAACACTCATTTTTACTGGATGGAGCATGAACGCACCATAATGTAACTGATTGGAGCCTACGTTAGCTGTTAGCATTAGCTGTTGGCAGAGATGGGCAAAGATACATCAAAATGTATTTTGATACAAAATACAAAATACCCCTCAAATAAATGTATCAAAATAAAATACAAAATACTGGTGCCAGAAAATGTAACAAAATACAATGCATGTATTTTGTATTTAAAATATAGGAAATACTTTTTCTGGATTTTCCATTTTCTCACAATTTGGTATAGCAGAGCATTCAGGTTTGGGCTATAATGTACACAAAGCTCTGGTGAAGCCCACAAAAAGGAAGAACAGTCACAGAATGTCAGTGTAATAAGCACATCTGCGCTTGTTGATGGTCCTTCTTGAACATCATCTTGCTGAGACATGTTGTCCACCTGGCCAACTGTCAAATGTATGAAATAATAAAACTAAGAATACTTTCATAATATGCCTTTTAAATAAAATAAATTGGATATTTAATGTTTTTAGTTTTTTTTTAACATCTACTGTCATAGCCTGGCTAAATGTGAACTACATTATCTGCCAGTAATTGATATGGCATTATGACATTCACATTGAGAAGATGCAGCATAACTTGTAATACAGTGCAAGATTAGATGGTCAGACGTCTCTTGATAAGGTTATCATGAACATACCAGCTCCCAATCTCCCTCTTCCTATAGCTAGCTACTCGACTGATAAGTTAACTTGCTAAACACTGGCTATGCACTAGCCTAGACAGCATGCTAGCATCATTAGCATGTTAGCATCGAGCTTGATATTATAACCATCACCATGTATATATAATAGACTATGTAGCCAGACCCAGACATACATTATAGATCAAGCTAGCACTCAGATAAACGATTTACCTTGACAGACAATCCGTTGAACTTGAAGATCTGAAGACTGAACTCGTGAACTGTTTTTTGATTCGTGGAGAAAGTATTTTGAGTATTTTAAATACAAAATTACTGGAAAGTATTTTGTTACAAATTACGTTCGATTTTTATCGGCCCTGTCAAATACAAATTACAAAATACTCAAAAGTAATTGAAATACATATTTCAAATACAAGTAATAGAAATACTGCCCATCTCTGGCTGTTGGCATTAGCTGTCTGCTCTCAGAATTAATATAAAAATATAATATTTTTATTTTTCTATTTTTAACGTTCCTCTACGGATTATTTTGGATTCGCTCTGAATAAACTTCTGGAAACACTGAAGATAATCCCTACAACCTTTAGTGTGTGTGTGTGTGTGTGTGTGTGTTGTTAACAACTGTCATGCTGCACATCTATAAATGTGACCGGCAAATAAATGAGTCTGATCAGCCGATCAGCTCGATCTCTAGACAACATGGTCACATGATCCTTAAAGTGTCGCACAGGAAGCGATTGATGTTCATCATCGTCATCTATGTCTGTTGTTCTACAGTCACAGAGACCTTCACTGGTAAAACCTTCAGTTGGAGATTCACAGTACTTATTATTGGAAACAGCCTCTCAGTGAAAGTGTGTGTGAAGGTGTGTATGTGTGTGTTGGTTTCAGGTTCAGAGAACGACAGATTTCTTCTGTTCCAGTCCAGATTCACTCTGATCCTCTGGGGCTTCTTCTGGACTTTGAGATAAATGGTGTGATCTGATGATGGGGAATATGCTCTGTATTCACTTCCATTGAACAATATTGTCATTGATCTAAAACATATGACGACTCTCTTCGTCTGGACACACTCTGCTATCACACCCAGTTCCCAGTATGTACTGTCTCGAACCTGGACGTCCCAGCTGTGAGTCCCTAAAGTAAATCCCTCAGAACCCAGAAGAGAGAAGCAATTATAAATCCTCTCTGGATTATCAGGAAGCTGCTGTTGTTCTCCTCGTCTCACACTGGTCAGATCTTCAGACAGAATGAGTTCCGGATCAGCAGTGTTTGGGTCCAGACCCACAGGAGTGTAGGAGACCATGTTCTTCATCTTGCTCCAGATGTTGAAGGTCAGGTTGCCCAGGTGTTTGGCCTCGTCTATCAGAGCTCCTGAGAGCAGACGTGGATGCTTCAGCAGGGGGCACTGCTGCACTCTTTCCACTGCAGCCTTGTAGTTGTTCAGGAATGAGACGTCTTCAGCTCTCAGCTCGTCCTCTGTGGCTCTGACTGTGTCTGAAAGAGCTGCTATCTCTCTGCTCAGAGCCTCCATCTTCTCCTTCATCATCTGACTCTTCTGCTCCTCTTCCTCCCTCAGTGCAGCCATCCTGGCCTCCTCTTCCTCCTCTAGCAACTGGTGAAGCGTCTTAAACTGCTCCTGAATCTGCCTCTCTGTGCGTCGGGTCTGGACCTTTATGTGTTCTGCTGATTGATAAAACCTTACTTGAACTTTTGTAAAAACCTTTAACTTCTCCTTTAAGGGCTCCAGAGTTTCCCGAAGTTTCTTCTTGTGTTGTGAAGCAGCTTCAGCGATGGGTCTGAATCTGTGTTTGGTGTGTTTCTCTGAATCTCTGCAGACGAGACAGACCGGCTGCTGATGGTCCGGACAGAACAGTTTGAGTTTCTCAGAGTGCAGACTGCAGAGAGTCTCTGAAACTCTCTGGTCTCTCTGCTGTAAGAAACTCTCACACAGGTTCTTCAAAGCAAAGTTAGGAGGTAGTGAAGCCGTTGAATGTATTTTCTTACAAACTGGACACTCTTGGATTTCCTTCTCTGTCCACCAGTTCTGCAGACAGACTCTACAGAAGCTGTGGCAACATGATAGGATGATGGGATCTTTAAAGACCTCATGGCAGACAGAACAGCAGAAATCTTGCTCTAATCTGGAAGCCATTTAGTCTGTGAGTGAAGCTGTAAACTCAGTAGTATAGTAAAAAGTACAATATGCACCATATGCACTATATGTACGTATATATTTCTACATACTTTTTATGCATGAGGTCGCTCTTGTCCTGCATTAATTCGGCACACATTAACTATTAATGCTGGTTTTCATGTGGGTCACACGCAGACCACCGACCGCGCCTGTCAATACGCGTCGGGCAGCAGTGACGATGCCGGATCGATAAAAGCCCACACTTCACTTTCAGAGCACAATGAAACGCTCCGATCCACGCAAATGGTGGTGGTGGCGATGGAGGGAGGCCACCGAGGGCCACACGTCAATCCTGCTGTCGCACTTTATGATCAGTCACAAGTGAACGGACCAGGCAGTCATCTGTAGCTACAGAACACAGCTAGACAGGAATTCATCTCAGTAGAACTTAGCCAAAGTGGTGACGTAGTATGTGCAATTATCTGCAGCACATCACATCTCTGGTTATTTGCATAAGATGACAGTTAAAGTTACTACAAGGAACTTTCATTTATTGTTGATTTTGGACAAAAGCGGTAGTGTTTCCGAGCACCAGAATCCCTTTACAAAACCTCTCATTCTAATGCAGCGGGGGTCTGACAGTCTGCCCCGCTCAGTCCTGGTTCTGGTTCTCCCGTGCCTCCCTTCCCTCTAGTGGACCCAGCAATACGGCCTGGGTCTCCAGCAGCGAGCAGCGAGGCGAAGCTCTGCTTCTGGCCAAAGGAGGTGATGCTGCTGCCGGGTGGAGAGCTCACCTCCTCCCTCTCCTCCTCCCTCTCCAACTGCAGGTCAAAGGCGGCAGCAAAGACGGATCTGGGTCTGTCCGCGGTGGGCTGATTGCCGACCCGGTGGCACCGATGACGAGCCTTAAAAATCACTATATAGAAATAGCCAATCTTCTCACTGTTATTCTCGTTTACTTATGTCGGTCATAAAGAGGGATCAGTATTCAATTGAGACTGTTTCATTACCAGTTGGAAGTTAAAAAACTACTTGTTTTGTCTGACCAACAGTTTAAAACCCCCAAATATCAAATGTGAAAACTATAAACGCAGCTTGATACAAGACTTAAATGATCGATCAGTCAAAGTCTACAGACATGCCAGTGGCTGTGATTGATGGTGTTGTGTCAGACCAGTAGACTAACGCAGAGAAGAGGCTACTGTCTCTACAGTCTAAGTGGGAGAGACGGAGACGGACACTGCAAAGATAAAAGGAATCAGACATTCAGGCTCCACAGAGACTAGAATCACCAACCCCGGCTTTTCTTTTCTGCCCAGAAACCTGCAGCACCTTGAACCTCTCCACAGCTGGAGATAATTGAACCTCTTACGTCTAATCTTGACGAGTGAGAAACAGATACTGTGGCTGTGTCGGTTTCAGGCTTTTGACTCCCTCGGTAATTGAATTAGGAAAAGCCAAGACAGGATTAGATGTACAGATTCATCAAGCATGAACCTTGCTTGATTTTCAAACGTTGATGTAAGATGATATATGAAAAATGGCATTCATTTTCGGTTTAAAAGCAAAAGCAAACTACCCAGACGGGACTTTCTATGATGTGCTGATATTAAATCTAAAGCCTGGCAATGACGTGTCCTTTAAAAACACATGACGTAGTGCTTAATGTAACTTATTTCATATCTCGATAACAATGTATATCTATAGCATGTTTTCTGGTGATTCAATAAATAAATAGTCTATATGAAATAACCACATGGTTTTGTTTACTCTTATGTACATTAAATGCTAAAAATAAAAAGTACTGAGTTTTCTAATTTAATTAAGAACTTGAGTGCTAAATAATCCGATTTTCTGACAAATTTTAGTTTGTATGTGCTTGTTATTGTCAATCATATATTTTATATATCCTGATACATGATTTCATCACGATTCCATTGAAAGACAATTAATTATCATAACTAATTACTGCCCAGCCAGAACTTAAAAACAACTTTCTGCAGTTTGCTTTGATGCTTCCGTCTATCTGACCTTGACGCACTGAGATCAATGCTCATTAGATGGAAGCACTAAACAACTGTTTGTGTCCTACAAACATACTATAGTGGCACGGAGGAAGATATAAACGGGACACAGGCAGAGACACTCGCATGCACCCGAACTGTATGAAGCACTAGCTTGTCGTGTTCAGTCACAGTCTATGTTGCCACCTACAGAGCACCTCTGTAAAGCACAGAATCACTCGTAGCAAATCGCAGCTGAGCATCAATGTGGCTGTCAGGTAAAACCTAATATGACTAGTGTATCAGCAGACGGCTCGTCAGGGATGTTTACATCAAACAAAACCTCCACTGCTGAAATAAAACCTGCCAATATTCAATACATGCTCGGTCGAAGCAGAAATTACTCATTTAAGGATACTAGAAAAGGCAAACTGCTTTTAAAATTGCATACTTTTTACTTTTAGCACATACTGCAGTTGTTCTTACAAACTGTGCGTTCCAATACTCATACTACAATACTATTTAGTATGCCGGACTAAGATTTAGTACCAATTCATAGTATGTCAAATCCAGTGTGATAAAAATGCCAGAATGTTCTACATCCGGCTGCATTTAGCAGTATGCGAGTCAGCATGCTTTTCTGGCTATTCTGACCCACATATATCATATATCCGCTCATATATCCGCACAGTTCAAAGCGCAATGTAATGATAAACTAGTACGTCCCTAATCAAATGCATACTGCACGCAACGGTACGCACTTTGTGAAGGCAGCTGCATCATGCACTAAATGTTTTGTTTTTTTAAGTATGTGTTTTGGGATGCAGTACTGTTGCATGCAGTTTGCATTTAACTGGGACATACTACTTCCTCATAACATTGCACATATTGCATTCAACCGTCTATGTATTGTGACATACTAAATCTTTTTTTCTGGCACACTTAATAATATGGTAGTATGAACCACAAAAGATTTGAGTGTGTTGTTGGTGTACGCTATCGTCCCATAATGCAATGCACAAAGGAAAACGGAGGACAGGGAAATTACAAATAAAACACATTTTGGATGGCGGTACAACAGCTCTAAGAACATATTAGACGAGCATGCTTTTGACTCCCTGACGAAGGCTTGATGCCGAAACACGCCAACGTTTGTTTTTAGGTTTCACGTGACTGGAATTTTTCTTGTGACACCTCAAACAAACTACTGAGTCCAGGAAGCAAATTTCTGAGCTCAAAGAGCAAGTCAACAAACAAACCAATCAAATCTCTAAAAAAAAAAAAAAAACATTTAGAAGTCTGTTTATAAAACTTAATGGATACGTGATATTTAAAGTTGTGGTTTTATTAATGTCTTTTACCATTTTCTGTTGATGCAAAATCATTTCTTGTATACTAAACGGCAACAACTAAGTATGTAATATGAAGTAAGTCATCTGGCTAGTTTACCAGCTTCCATACAGGCTGCAGTACCAGCCTACCTGAGGATAAAGAGCCTTGCTCAAAGGCACATGTCAGGCCATTTAAGTGCATGTTCAGACAGAGCTGGAGAGCAGCTGCACAGAGAAAAGCAACAAGGGTTTGAGGGGGAGCTTGTTAAAAGAGACACTAACATACCATGTCGACAAAATCCCACTCTGACCTTCAGACAAACACTCATTCACAGATTTCAGAGCCAACAGTAATTAGTGCCAGCTTTGGATTCCTCCTGTTCACGGTGAACCTGCGCCAACCGCCGGTGCCCCGCCCACAACCGTGGAGCCGAGCAGGCTGCAGCTGATTGGCTGCCCGGCTGGGCCCCTTCCAGTAACGTTTCACCCAATAGGCTCCTGCAGTCAGCCAGTAAAACCAGTGCTTTGCCTCCCTGAGACAGCTGTGTGTCTGGATGCCGTAAGTGAATACTCTCAGCTGATTGGTTCCCAGCTGGGAAGGTGTGTGCGCGCGTGTGTGGGCTTCAACATGCATAGGGTGTGCTTAAAAAAAAAAAGAAGATTAAACACATGTGGTCGCTTTGTAAAATCAAGCGCTCGGATTATGGGTCGCAACTAAGAAGAACAATTCCTGCACGTGTAGTCTGGTTTCCATGACAACACACCCCCCCCCCCCCACCCCCCCGCAGACAACCTTCCACGTGACACATCACAGAGCGAGCTGGAGTCAGAAGATGTTAGCCGGATTCATCAAACACTGTTTCTCAATGTGCTGATCTGAGCGCAGCCGCACCTCTTTAAAGGTTCACCTTCTGTCGGCCAACAGGTGACCTGCCGGTAGAGGCGCGTGGCCCCCCGAGATACACCTTTTCGCGCTGCGGTGACATGCACATCACGGGCCTTCTCAACGAAACTGCGCCAATAAAAACCAACAGTGTGCTCGTTAATGGGATGTTTTTGGTCGTATCTCGCCATATCCTTTAATATCCCATAATAATGCGCAGTGGAATCTGCGCTTTAATGTGCAGCAAAACGTGCTTCTGCTTACCTCATCTTCCCCTCCTGTCCCGTTTGAAGGAGATGAATAAGGTGTTTCCTTGAGTTCCAGTAAAAAATAGAAATAAAAACCCCGGTCCAGCAGCAGCACCTCTGGGTGTTTTAATCAGAACAGCGATGCTGCCAGCGAAGCCTGCAGCCGGCTCGGTGTGCAGATGTTGAGGGTGGGAAAAGGCGACAGGGTGTGGAAAATGCTACACGGATTGGCCACAGTTTTCAGGTCTGTCTTTAAAAAAAATAAAAAATAAAATATTCTCCGGTGTCGTGTCAGGTGGCTGGCGGTTCGGTCGAGGCCATTTCAGAGGGAAGCACGCCGCTGTCCGCAGGACGAGAAGCCGGGCGGAGTGGCTGACAGCGGCTTCTGAGGTGCCATCTTTTCCTCCCTTCGACCACTGGGAGGCTGCACGGGGAGAAGGAGAGAGCAGGCTGCTCAAATATTCACGTCTCGGTTGGTTTTGCTGCACGGTGGCGCCCTCGGTCTGGTCGTGCAGCTACCGTGCAGGCAGGTATGAAAAACAAACGCACATCGTCGTGTCTCGTCAAAATAATAAAAAAAAAAAAAAAATCATGTGTGTCCACAGAAAAACATCACTCATACTGTTGTAAAATTATTTTTATATTATTTTATATTCCACTGCAAAACAATTAATGGCTTCACAGGAATATTAGATTAAAATACCACAAATACTTTAAGCCTTTAAGACCCTACAGAGACAGTTTTAGAGTGTGTGTGTGTGTGTGTGTGTGTGTGTGTGTGAGTGTTATTTCCTTTCATCTGATATAACAACTTGAACACTTCAGTGAATATTTTTCTTTCATGATATGTGAATTCATTGAGTTTAACTATACCAAAACTATAATTCTGAACTTTCTTACTGATATCTTAAAGGGACAGTTCACCCCCCCCCCCCCAAATCAAACATATGTTCCCCTCTTACCTGTAGTGTTTCATGTAGGATCTATTTTCTTTCAATCATAGTTCCTTCATTAAAACTGCTCACAAACTGCTCACAGAAGGCAGACATCTCTACAGCCGATATCTCCAAAACTATCACACCAAAACAATCTAGAATGATATAATAGCACAACAGGTTTTGGAGTGAACTGTCCCTTTAAGTTGTACATGCTGCTGTACAGAGGTGTACAGTATTTCATGTGTAAAACAGACAGAGTGTGATACTGTATACAAAAGGACAGAGAGGCAGAGTGTATGTAGCACACACACACACCTGTCGACCAGCTAACATCTGTCTCTGTCTGCAACAGCCAGCTGCTGCCTCCTCTCATGGAGGACAGACGGGCTCAGTTAAATCCCCACCGAGGACCTGAGTTCATCTGAGGCGTCCTTAAAGACTATTTGTTATTGTTACATTAGTGCTGTGTGTTTGAAATGACGCAGCCACAGATGTGTGTGTGTGTGTGTGTGTGTGTGTATTTGCATTAAACTTTAAAGATTGAACCCACATTATAGCACATCTGGACAGCAGTGGCATGAGTGAGCGTTATCGTCAAGAGAAGACAGAAGGTTGTTGGTTGTTCTGGATGTACATTTTAAGGTGTCATTCTATTTTGTTTTGTTCTAATATGTGCAAGAAAAAACACCACATCACACCTAAATATCCTGCAGACCACTTCCTGTGGATTACATCATACTGCCATCCGTGTGTTTCTCTCACACATGAGTTTGCAAGTGTGCAAACTCACTTGCACAAGACATGAACCACATGCAAACAAGAGATTTTACATAACAAAATATATTTAAATGTATGTTTCTCTCTTTAGTTTTTAATAATAAATACAGCTGTTAAATATCCCACAGCACCCTTTTAGGCTTTGACTAAAATCAATCTGTTGTCTCACCAGCAGAGGTCCTCCTAGCTTCTAAAGAGCACATGAGTTTCCACTGTGGTCTGGTGAGGACTTTTAGGTGAGACCGGCCACATGTTGGCTTGGTGATCATGGAAACATTAGCTTGTGTTGTGAATGAACTTTTATTTTAAGGGTGCAGCTTTAATATCCGCAATATGTTACTCTTATGACCCTGTTCAGGTCTTTATCTCCACAGGAGGGCACTGAGGCTGCGCACACTCACACGACTTTATGAAAAGATTGATGAAAATGTACAAATTTCATAGAAGTTTAAGTTTTGAGTTGAGATACATTCAAATTAAATCCATGCAGTGTTATCAAACTTAGTTGATTGACGTCCTTTTCAGATGTTTTTGAATAACAATAATGTAGATGCTGATTGTCGTGTAGGTTGTTATTAAGGGAAGTCCAACAATACGTTAGATAAAAGTCCTTCTGTGGAATATGAGTGATCGTCTGAGGAAAGGAAAAAGTAATGAGTTGGCTTTACAGGATGTTTATACATGAAAACACAAGTCTGGTATATGTTCACATTAAAAATGGAAACGTTTACAGAAGAGAGGAGCAGACGAGTCGCATCTTTTAGCAAAACAAAATCACTCAAAAAATGATTTTGGATTAGGGTAATCTTATTATTAAGTGATGGCCCAAACTGTTTTCGCAGTGCGAGTGGAAAAAATGTTGCGCATTGGCACAGCTCGAACTGTTTATGCAACGGAAAAGGTCACGGTGTGTGATTTTCAGCAATTTCCTGCTCATCAAAAATGTTCAGTGGCCATTTATTCCCCCGCAGTGACTTTGTGAAAGACCGTTTCCCGTCATCAGAGAACGACTTCAACGTCCGATTGAGGTGACTGCACTTTTGTTGCTCTCCAAGTGGCTGATTGAACTAAACCATGACAGGAAAGTGCTGCACATAGTGTAACAGGATCCCTGCTGGAATATAAAGTACTCTTCAGTCAGTCGGGTCAATTAGGCAGCAGCCACTCACAACCCAAACCCTGCACACACACACACACACACACACACACACACACACACACACACACACAAGGAAATGTCATCCCCTTAGCAATCACAGCTTTTTTATTGTTTGTCCTGAACTAGAATGATTCTGGTACACACTGTATGTTAGTTACACTTAAAGTGGAACATCAACTACAAAACAGCTAGAAACTTCACAGCACATTCACTGACATCAAACACAGTCGGTGCTCAAAGACAACGACACATCCTCGCCTTACGAACTTCAGCAGAGAGAGACGGAGAGAGCAGTGAAACAGTACGCAGGTACGAGCATCCTGTGAGAAATGGATCTAAGACTACTGAGGATTCAGAGGCTAAAGATGCATTAAAGCTTTTGTACTGTACTATACTTGAAATGTATAAGCATGCCATAAAACACTGTATCGACAGTTCTTGTTAGTGTTTCAAAATGCTAATATCACACATATAACAAAAAAAAGCAACAAAATCAGGATGCACAACAGAGGGAAATCATGCCATTCCTGCAAGTTAAGGAAATGCACTGCTGCCAATTTAAAAACCAATTTCTTGTTTTTCCAGCATTGGAAGAGAGTCATTATTCACAGTTTCTGTTTGAGTGGTTGACTGAGGCTTTTAGTAATTTATTTGTGGTCAGTAAACTTGATAACAGGGACACATTTTGTACCAAATCTATCTCCGCCTCAGTAACAAATCTGAAAGTACTGGCTGGGCGATTTGAGGGGGTTCTTGTAGCTGGATGTGTCCTGCGGTGCGTTCTGGCTGGTCGTGGTCTTCTGCAGGTTTAAGGTGTAGGACGGGGTCGTCTTCTTGGCCTCTCGCTTGCCGCCCCCCTTCGCCTGAGGGTGGTTGGGCCCGGCCGGGGGCCCGCCGTTCGCAGGCACCGTGGACCCGGATTTGGCGGCCTCAGAAGATCCAGTCTTTCTTGTGAGGGGGCTCAGATAGATCTGCATAGTCACTAAGTGAAGTGGTGAAATGAGGTGAGGAGGGTGAGTGAAAAGACAGAGGGGGAAGGAAAGGGTTAGAACGGAGGTCGGCGGTCAGGTGGGGCGGATTTTACAGGAAGAGGTGAGGTCAAAAAAATAAGGGTGCAAAGGGGTGAGGGAAGGCACACATGTCATGGTGAGATGTGACAAAAAAAATTGAAGATAAAATAACAGCTCATACAAAATGCTCTCAACTTCTCTCGATATTGTTCAGTATGAATCCTACCTTTGCAGTGGGTCACCTGTCTCGTCCCTGCAGAGAAACAACAGACAAACAGAGAGGTCACTAGCATGCAACAAACAATACCACCATCATGTCTGTCTTTTGCTAAATCACTTATCGGTCTTTTTTTTTTTTTTAGAGGCTTACTCAGCAGCTGTTTCACATTCTTATGAACTGAACGCTGCCAGATACAGACTGGAAAAAAAGACAACTGCCGGGAAGCAGAGAGAGTGCTCACTTACCTACACTAACGACAGCCTCCTTGGACTTGCTGCTGTTAAATTAAGAGAGAGAGAGAGAGAGAGAGAGAGAGAGACAGAGAAGGACACGAGAAGGAGGGAGAAACAGAGTAAGAAACACAGCAACACAGAATGAGAGAGATCAGTTTCAGGTTGACTAAACAGTTAAACATCCTTTCTACTGGCTTTGAGAATGCAATGCTTCTCTGTGGTCTGAGGTGTTTTCAAGACCATAGTAACTGGGTCACCTCAAAAATCAGTGGAAATGTATAGATTGTATACCATGGCTTGCAAGAAGTGTACGTGGAAAAACAATGTCAAATTTACATGAACACAAAGTGATGATAAATATGAATATACAAAGAAAGACAAAGGGATAACTGAGAAGGCTTTTGTCTTCTCACCTTTCCGGAGGCTTCCTGCAGGAGGCTGCAGAGGTGGGTCGCTTAGTGGTCTTGCATGGACTGTCCTTCACACTACCTGATGGGCTCCTCACACCACTGGAAGGGAAATAAAACAAGCACTGTGAGGTCATGGACCTTTTCACATTCTTTTTTGCTAAATTTAGATTTGCCAAATATTTCACTGCAATAAATCCAGTCGTATATATTTTATTTATTAAATATATTTTATGTATAATTAAAGCTACTACGGAATCCGATCCAGTGGCACCGACCACGAGCATTAAGAATAACTAAATATATATATATATAAAAAATAGCAAATCATCTGGCTTATGGTCTCGTTTATATGTAGGCCATATAAAGATGTCAGTATTCAATTGAGACTGTTTCATAACCAGGTAAAAGTTCCTCACTGTGACTTTAATTTGAAGGTACTTGACAGGAATATCACAGTAAGGGGGGGGGGGGGGGGGGGGGGG